ATGTCCAGGCAGTTCTCAACTGGCCCACAGAAGGCAAGTGTCAGCCACATGGGGAGGCCTGGCCTCAGCTCCATCCCACCAGCTGTCGTACATCACACAGCTGGAAGAGCATGTTCCGGCAGCGCCATGGCGGCCATCAGCCTCAGCGGCAATAAGATCCTGGGGATCAGAGGAGATACGCTGACATAAAACACCGCACGCCTGGCTGTTCCCTGCAGAATCTGGCCAGCCAGTCCACCGGCCAGCCCACCAACAGGCTCCTCGTACCCTTGTCATCCTGGAGGGCCCAAGTTTAATGCCTGGGGGCAAGTTCACAGCACTTTTAAAGCCAGTCACCCTCAGCACCATCTGCACTGATTGGAAACTTGCTGTGAACAAGAAGCTCCCATAACTTATTAACTCCAAAGAAAACTAAAAAAGAAAAAGCATTCGGTACAAAACCAAGCAGCTAAAAATAAATATACAAATGGCCAATAAACATGAAAATTTCAACTCACTTGTAACTTAAGAGATACAAATTAAAACAATGGGATATCATTTCACTTATCTAATTGGAAAAGAATGAGAAAATGACCAGTGCTAGGAGGAGGAAAGAAGAAAGGGATGGGGAGAAACAAACAGATAAATGGTTAGATATGAAAAAGCATCTATAAGTTGGTAAAATAAACTTTCCAGAAAAAAAGTAAAAATACATACTCAAAACCTTTAAAGGTACATACCTTTCACCCAGTAATGTCACTTCTAGAAATTTGTCCTAAAGATCAGTAAGAATCTTGTATTGCTTTAATATCAATGGACTTCACATACTTTATATGTGTATATTCTATATATAATTTTTATATAAAGACTTAAAGATATTATTTACAGCACTGTTTACTATGGAAAAATATTGGGATTAACTTAAGATACTGGTTAGTCATGGTTTAGACATGAGCAGGAATAATATGCAGTCATTTTTTTGTTTTCTTTTTTTTTTTGAAACAGAGTCTCCCTCTGTCACCAGCCTGGAGTGCAGTGGTACAATCTCGGCTCACTGCAACCTCTGCCTCCAGGTTCAAGCGATTCTCTTACTCCTGAGTAGCTGAGACTACAGCCATGTACCATCACGCCCAGCTAATTATTGTATTTTTAGTAGAGACAGGGTTTCACCACGTTGGCCAGGGTGGTCTGGATCTCCTGACCTTGCGATCCGCCTGCCTCGGCCTCCCAAAATGCTGGGATTACAGGTGTGAGCCACCGTGCCTGACTATTTTTTGTTTTCTAAAACTCACACCTATAATCACAGCACTTTGGGAGGCAGAGACAGGTGGATCACGAGGTCAAGTGATCGAGACCATCCTGGTCAACGAGGTGAAACCCCGTCTCTACTAAAAATACAAAAATTAGCTGGGCATGGTGGTGCGCGCCTGTAATCCCAGCTACTCGGGAGGCTGAGGCAGGAGAATCGCTTGAACCCAGGAGGCAGAGGTTGCGGTGAGCTGAGATTGTGCCATTGCACTCCAGTCTGGGTAACAACAGCGAAACTCCGTCTGTCTCTCTCTCTCTCTCTCTCTCTCTCTCTATATATATATATATAGATATAAATGACATGAAAAAACACTTGCAACACATACATTGGTAAGTTGGGGGGGGAAGCTGGCTACACCGTGACATGCCTATTTGACCCAAATTCTGTAACACAAGAGTGTGTGTCTCATACATGCACATAAAAGACCAGAAGGCCAGAAACTTTAACAGTGGCTCATCTTCAGACAGGGGAGCTACCAATGGTGTTTGCTCTCACTTCTTTGTGCTTGGCTGTTTCTAAACTTCCTGTGATGACGCGGTTTGTTTAGAATTCAAAAAAGTCTCAATATTATCTAATAAGGAAGCACAAATGGGATGGAAACCTTCTCCTCCAGATACAATTAACATGACAGACAATAGGTGCCTCAAACATAACTGTGGCACCAGCATCACGACAAGTGCCCTAAGATAACCAGAAACACCAAGACGGGGTCAGAAAGAGAAAGCTCGGTCTGTCACAGGCATGCGGAATGACTTTGTAGAAGAGGGAGCTGTCTAAGAAGAACCTTAGGATAGGGTAGATTCCCAGAGAAAGCATTTCAAGTAGGGGAATCCACAAACTAGGGACATGCAGGCAAAGAAAGCCTGGGCCAAGGCCATGAGGAGTGGGTCATCTATGCTCGAGTCTGAAGAAACAGGGCTCCGGGCTCAGCTGGGTGGGGATAAGCTGTGCTTCTTTGGATTTTTCAAGCCTTTGCAGATGACAGTGGAACTGACGAAATACTAATGTGGTTAAAAGGCATTGCTAACTTCATAGTGGCATCGCATTGCTTGCTATCTGCTCCTCATATGAAAATTCATCTACATTTACGGCCCCCTGCAAACCCATCCCAATCCCAGCACTGGCCTTTCTGCTACTTTCTAAGGTGGCCAAGGACACTTGCTTTCCTCAACCTGAAGCACCCTAAACATCTGCACAGCTCCTCCCTCCCCATTGCAGGTCCTGTGGAAGGACAGGAAAAAGTCAAAGGTAAGGGGGAGAAAGGGTGGTCCCATGACCAGAACCAGGTAATCAGAAGTACATGCCGCTGGTTTGCCGAGGAACAGATGAATCACTGTAATTAAAGTAAAAATGGTTGGAGAAGTATAAGGGGCTGCAAAATGGGGAAGAGCCACCAGGTCAAGATCAATAACATATGCCCCCTCATGCACCGGGATCCTGTCCCTAAGCACTGGGGGCTGACCAGCTGTGGTAAATAGTTAATGACAAAAACTCTGAGAACCTAAGACAGTTTCCCACCCAATATCTTAAAATGCCGAAGAATTCTGACCTGCAGTATTTAACTCAAAGTGCTCTTGCATTCATTGTATTTCATCTTGAGAGGTAAGAAGAAAAGGTATCATGCCCATTTTACAGCTGCAATACTTGAACCCATGCTTGGGGTGTGAGGCAGCACCCCTTCTTTGCCAAGTGGAGCTGGCAGAGGAAGGCAAGTTGACACCCCCGGGAAGGCAGAGGCGGCCTCTGTAGTGCCAGCAGCCCAGACTGCGGGATGAGACCTGGTAAGTGCATGTCCTCCAGACCTACCCTGGGCTTGGTTGAGGCCTCTGATTCTCTGGAGCTGTGTGTGAGGAGGCAGCCACCCTCTGCACAGGGCCGATGAGCCCAGACTAAGTCTTTAACGTCCCTGGTTAAATAGTCACTGTGAAGGCCAGCAGGAAGGATCCTAAGATGAAAGCAGGAAACTGTTCTGCACCTTGCATGATTCATATGAGGAGCAGATAGCGATCACAGAACTGCACAGACCTAAGTGTACACGAATGAGCGTTTTATGCTGCTGAGACCCGGTAAGGTCTGTGTCCAGGATATGACGGTGTGCTAGTCACACAAGATGTCACCATCAGGGAGGCTGAGCAAAGTATACACAGACCTCTACATTCTCTCACAACTGCTTGTGAATCTACAATAATCTCAAAATAAAAAGTTAAATAAGATTACATACCATACGTGTTTACTGGCTACTATACTAGACAGCGCAGCTCCAGAGAGCTGTTCACACTGAGTTAAAGTAACCTCCCACCCACGCTTGTGGGCTCTTCCCCTCACCTAACCCACAGCTGGCACACTTGATTTGGGGGAGTTGGGGGCACTCCTGTGCTCCAGAGAAGATGGGTGTGGGGCCGAGGTCATGGGGCAAAGATAAGAACAGGATCTTAGGATAAATAAGAGATTCATTAAAAGACCGTGTACCCGCAAGTAAAGAAGGATCCTGCAACTCACTGCAGCAGTCTGGAGAGGTGGCCGTGCCGTTGCTGGGACACAAACCCCCCATCCTCTGTGGACGACACCCTGTAAATCCTACACCAAAGGTCAGAGCAGCACAGGGAGTGGGGGCTGTTAGACTTGCCTCCACAGACACAGGGGAAGGAACACCCGCCCTGCGCCCAGATAGGCAAGAGTTGGGTGTCAGGGCTCCTGCTCCGCCGTTAGGAGCCGTTCACACAACTCTGAGACCCGGGGTGCAAAAAGAGAAAGGGCTAGAGGGCCGCTCAACTCCCAGAGAGTAGCCAGGGAAAGGCTGGAGGGGTGCCCTCCCGCAGAATCCCCCAACAACTGCAGCTCCTCCTCAGCCCGCGAGGTCCACCACGGAGACCCTAACAAACAATAGCATCTACAGCGAAGGAACCACCCCCGCAAAGGGCAGAAGCGCCAGATCCTATCAGCCAATTACCCAGACGCTCACCGCGACCCGCAAGTTCGGGCACGCTCCGCCAGAGCGCAGGCAGCGGGAGGGGCCGGGCACGCCCGTGAGGGTGGTCTGGGTACGGGTCTGGGCCGGGGGCGCGCCCGGGGGAGGGGTCTGGGTCTGGGGCGGAGGCGCGTCCGCCGGCGGGGAAGTCTGGGTTGGGGGCGCGCCCGTGGGGGTGGGTTGTCTGGCCCGGGGACGCGCCCGGGGGCGTGGTCTGGTTCTGGGGAGAGCCCGGTGGGTGCTCTGGGTCTGGGCTGGGGAGCGCGCCTAATGCCTGGCATTTGGTTCCAAAAGGGTGGGGGACGCCCAGCTCGGAGCCGGCGCCCCCTTTGCAGCACTGAAGGCGCCCTGGCCAGGTCCATCCCCCGGCCCGGGCCCCCACAGGCCCCTCCACGGCCCCGAATCCGAGCAGCCCCTGGTCCTGAATTCGCCCCGGAAAGGCCGCCCGCCCCTCCAATGTGTGGCGCGCCCCGGTCGCCTCTCGCTCGTGGAACAAAAGAGCAGCTCCCGCGGCGCGGGTCCAGAGCCTGCACGGACCGTCGATGGCCCTCGGCCCCCGAGCGCCGCGGCTGCCGGGCTTTGTGTCCGCGCGGGGGGCGGGAAGGACGGCCGGGGTCCCAGTGCGCGTCCGGCGGAGCGGCGCGCGGCGCCCGAACTCGAAAGTTGTCGCCGGCGCCAGGCGCCTCTGCGGGGCGCCCCATTCATTAGCCAGGAGTCGGGGCGCGGGGGGCGCGGGGGGCTTACCTTGCTCTTGACTTCCACCGCGCTGCAGTCGTAGAATCGCAAGGTCTGAGACTTGTGAAAACTCCGGTTCATGGTTTCGGCCCCGGTCAGCCTCGCCGTCGCCCTCGCTCCTCAGGGGCCGCAGAGACTCCCGGGGGCAGCGCCCCCAGGCCCCGGTCCGGCCCCTGATCGCTCGGCCGCCGGGCTGCTCCCGGAGCTGCGGGCCCGAGCTGGGCTGGCCGCGCGCCTCAGGGAATCCAGGGGCCGCGCGCGGGAGGAGCGCCGGAGACGCCGGCGCGCGCCGCCCCACCTCCCCGCGCCCTCGCCCGCGCCCCGCCCCCGAGCCCCGGAGGACCCGCCCTTTCCCCGCCCCGCTCTCCGGAGGACCCTCCCCGCCCAGCTTCTGCCCCGCCCCGCGCTCCGGAGGACCCTCCCCGCCCAGCTTCTGCCCCGCCCCGCGCTCCGGAGGACCCGCCCCGCCCCGCCGCCACACCCCGCCCCCACGCTGCTGCTCAGCGGCGCCTGGCCAGTAGGTGTGCGCTCTTTTCCAACAATCCCGGAGCCTGGGGAAAGAAGCATCGCGCCCAGCCCAGGCGTCTCGTTTTGATTGGCTCCACGGAGCAACCTAGGAGAGGGGCTGATCTGTGCCATTGTTTTGGGTCATATTCAGGAGAAGAATGCTAACGAGAACCGCTGGAGACCAAAAGGCATCACCTGTCAGTACTAATTGTCAAGTTGTTGATGGTCTGGGAGAAGGGTTTTATCAGACAGGCTTAGAGCAGCCTGGATAACACGGTGAAACCCCGTCTTTACTAAAAATACAAAATTAGCCGGGTGTGGTGGTGTGTGCCTGTAGTCCCAGCTTCTAGGGAGGCTGAGACCGGAGAATCGCTCGAACCTGGGAGGCGGAGGCTACAGTAAGCCGAGATCGCGTTACCGCACTCCAGCCTGGAAGACAGCCAGACTCCGTCTCAAAGAATGAAAAGTAAAAATAAGGGCTTAAAGGGTTTTATCAGATAACCTATCTCTCGGGACAGGATCAGATGCACCTGTAGACCTGCCTGATGTGAGAGGAGACTTTTTGTCTAAGGCAGCTAGAAGAAGAGAACCTGTTAGGACAAAGAATCAATTACTAGCAGCATCATTGAATGATTATCAATCTAGAGGCCTCTGAAACAGGGGCTTGCTGAAACCAGAGATGCAGTCCTAGACTCTGACGAATTTGTGAAGTGCGGAAGACAAGACAGTTTTTTAAAGAAATCATTGTAAAGCATACTATGAATTGTAATTTTCAAGTTATATAATTATAAATGTCATCATAAATTCATTTCAAAAGAAACCTGCAGAATACAAATAAGTGAAAAAACTGCACAAAGTACCCGTAGTCATGCAGTTCAGCAATGAATTATATTAACCTTTGGTGTATTTTATTTTCACTTATTTTTTTGCATATATATTTGTATATTTTACAAAACTGTGATAATGCTGCTTATCTAGTTTTACAACCTGCTTTTTTCAGCTTATGCCATATAATGAACTTTTTTTCCCTCTAAAAACAGGATCTTGCTCTATTGCCCATGCTGGAGTGCAATGCCACAATCATAGCTCACTCCAACCTCAAAATTCTGGGCTCAAGCAATCCTCCCACCTCAGCCTCTTGAATAGCAAGACCCCAGGTCTGTGCCACCACACAGACTAATTGTGTGTGTGTGTGTGTGTGTGTGTGTGTGTGTGAAGACAGAAGTCTATGTTGTCCCCACTTGTCTCCAACGCCTGGCCTCAAGCAATTCTCCCACCTCTTCCTCCCAAAGTGCTGGGATTACAGGTGTGAGCCACTACACTTGGCCACATTAAATGTTCTTAGATATTTTCTAAAAGGTGCTTATATGAATATAAGCATAATTTATAATCATTTCATTATTGTTGGATATTTAAGATGTTTCCAATGTTTAGCTTTTATATCATACTGTGTTTTTAAATTTTACTTATTTTGATGTTTTAAGTTGACTTTTAAAATTAGAACTACTTGCCAGGCACGGTGGCTCACGCCTGTAATCCCAGCACTTTGGGAGGCCAAGGCGGGTGGATCACGAGGTCAAGAGATCGAGACCATCCTGGTCAACATGATGAAACCCTGTCTCTACTAAAAATACAAAAAATTAGCTGGGCGTGGTGGCGCATGCCTGTAATCCCAGCTACTCAGGAGGCTGAGGGAGGAGAATTGCCTGAACCCAGGAGGCGGAGGTTGCGGTGAGCCGAGATCGCGCCATTGCACTCCAGCCTGGGTAACAAGAGCGAAACTCCGTCAAAAAAAAAAAAAATTAGAAATACTAGGCCACAAAGTACACACCTCTAAAGACTTTAATACAAATTACTTTCATAGAAATCTGATTTTCCTTTAGTTTGTTAAGTATTTACCCTGTTACATGCTGGGACTTAGTGCCAGGGAGTACCATTACAAAGGCACTGAGTTATAATCACTGCCTTTTAGAGAAACCCTGGGCTGGCCAGAGGACCGGATATGTAAACAGAGTTCAAAAACAAGGCAAGCGTGCAGTAAGCAAGGAGACAAAAAATGCCAAGAGACACACACTTGGCAAACAGACCGCGGACCGAGATGCTGACATTATTTCAAGAGAAGTTTCCTGAACTGAATATGGATCTTTGGACTTGAGAAAAGTCACAGGCTCAATGCTGACGGCAAGTTGCCCATTACAGAGGGGAGCATCGTTTTGTGGTTAGAAGAGGCTCAATCACATCCTGAGGGATAAGCTCCAACTCACACATGTTAAGAAATGGAGGGGCAAAGGACTATGTGGAGTAATGAACAGTATTGTAGGCAGTGAAGGTGGGAGCGGGGTCCACGCAGCAATCTCGGGGTTTTGGAGTGGGAAGAAACCTTTTGAAGGAAAGGCTGGAAGTCTACAGAACTTCTGGACGAGATCGATGAGAGTGAGATCATTTTGTTAATGCCTATGGCTCAGAGTGTGGTATAAGGCCCAAAATCTTCTCCACCTGGTGCTTGCTGGCAACACCCCACCCCAGACCCACTGAATCAGAATCTGCACTTGAACAAGATCCCCAGGTGATTCACGTCCATCCACATTGAAGTTTGAGAGGTGCTTCTCCTTCATCTTAATCATCTGTTGCTCCACAGTTCTGGATTGGCATGATATGCAGGCAGAACCAGGAGGAAAGGGTGGGAACGCTGGCTGTTGCATGTGGAGCCTGAGTTTCCAGCTGAGACTTGAACAGGATTTGTTAGGGCTTTGAGGTCTTAGCTGAGTCGGGTATAGACCAAAAAAAATTAACTGAGCCTTCAGCTGAAAAGGCTTTTACACGGTACAGCAGCAAGATTGGAGAAAACACACAGAGACACACGCACACACACAAAACCTCTCCTGCCTGACACAGTGGCTCACACCTGTAATCCAAACACATTGGGAGGCTGAGGTGGGAGGATTGCTTGAGGCCAGGAGTTTGAGAGTAGCTTAGGTAACATGGTGAAACTCTGTCTCTCAAACAATTAAAAAATTAGCTGGACATGCTGGGGCACAAATATAGTCCCACCTACTCAGGAGACAAAGGTGGGAGAATTGCTTGAGCCCAGGAGGTCGAGGCTGCAGTGGGCTATGATTGTGCCACTGCACTCCAGCATGGGTGACAACGAGAGACCTCATCTAAAAAAAAAAGAAGGAAGGGAGGGAGGGAGGGAAAGGAAAAGGAGAGAGAAAGAGAAAAGAAGAAAGAGAGAGAGAAAAGACTCCACAGGTCTTGGCCTGATAGCCTGCCTTTTCACACAACCAGAGGGTCATGGGAGCCTTTAAGGGGCCAACGGGTTTCAGACAGAAGATGAGAGAGAAAATAGGAATGAGTAGGGGTTAAATCTGCCTCAAATCACAGCTTCTAATAACTGATCCAATAAGTGAGCCATCAGGAGCAACAAGGAAATGTGTTGTGAACCCGGTAAAACGTATGCCCTGACTGGGTGCAGTAGCTCACGCCTGTCATCCTAACACTTTGGAAGGCCAAGAGGGGCAGATTGTTTGAGCCCAGGAGTTTGACACTGGGGAGGCTGAAGTGGGATGATTGCTTGAGACTGGAAGGTCTAGTCTGTAGTGAGCTGTGATTATGCTACTGCCCTCCACAGTGAGACACTGTTGAAAAAAAAATGAGGGCAGGCTCTTTTTTTTTTTTTTTTTTGAGTCAGAGTCTTGCACTGTCGCCCAGGCTGGAGTGTAATGGTATGATCTCGGCTCACCGCAACCTCCGTCTCCTGTGTTCAAGCAATTCTCCTGCCTCAGCCTCCTGAGTAGCTGGGACTACAGGCGTGCACCACCACACCCAGCTAACTTTTTGTATTTTTAATAGAGATGGGGTTTCGCCATGTTGGCCAGGATGATCTTGATCTCCTGACCTTGTGATCCACCGCTTTGGCCTCCCAGCATGCTGGGATTAAAGGTGTGATCCACCCGCTTTGGCCTCCCAGCATGCTGGGATTAAAGGTGTGATCCACCCGCTTTGGCCTCCCAGCATGCTGGGATTAAAGGCGTGATCCACCACACCCGGCTGGCTCTTTTATAATTCTACATTTGTTACTGATACATATGTCCTAAGAAAATATTCTCTAAGATGATTGTGTTGGGTAATAGGAAAGCATCACTGTAACGTTTGAACTAGCAGGCTGTTGCCTTTGCAGTGCATTCTAATATATTTTCTGGCTGAGGCAGGAGAAGAACTGATACTCAATTGAAATAAGGAAATGGCAGAGTAAAGTATTTATGCTTCACCATCACCTAATTATCATGTAAAGGCATCCCTTCTTTTTACCCTTTACTCTTCCCCTCCTCAAAGAGGTCTCTTCTGCCTTTTTTTAAAAAATTTTTATTTTTTGAGATGGAGTTTTGTTCTTGTTGCCCAAGCTGGAATGCAATGGCATGATCTTGGCTCGCTGCAACCTCCGCCTCCCAGGTTCAAGTGGTTCTCCTACCTCAGCCTCCCAAGGTTCTGGGATTGCAGGAATGAGCCACCACGCCCCCAGCCTCTTGTGCCTTTTTGGTGCAATAATATCTTTACTCTCAATGGAAGCTTCATGCCCAAACTGACTTACCAGTAGCTCTTTCAACAGATGGCGCTGTCAGCCAGAATAGAATGAATTCCCTGCATTCCAGAGCCATGTGGAAGTCATTGCTCACATCTGCCCACATCCTATAAAGTGGCTCTGCTTGTATCTCCTAGATTGGTGCAAAGGGCTCCCACCTCAAACAGCCTGTAGTGTGACCTGCATGTCCATCCCCAGGTGGAAGATAAAAGGCAGGT